CCCATCATCAGTTCAAGATCAATAACAGTTCCTTTGAACCTGTAACTGATCAACGTCTACAGTTTATCCCGTACAGGTCCACCCTTTAAAATGCAGTGATGATACTCGTACTCGGTTCGGTTCGACACACAGCCCTGCACAGATGCTAAACAGCTACGTCGATACCCATGCGGACCAGATACGAGTATCTCACCCTCTCAACTCACGTACACATGTCAATACTCTGAACAATAATACATCCAATTCTCATGCCACGTTCCGGCTGTCTCGATCGGGGGAGTCGGCGCCGGGGGTGGGTCATTCCCCAATAATCCCAACTCGACCGAGTATGAGACTCAGACTGCACCATGACCGCCAATTAGCCATACGGCAGGAGGCATGGTTCCCGTCACCGTCGACTCCTTGCACCATCGAGGGATCAACACCCCCCCCCCCCCCGGGGAACTCTTGAGTCTTGGCCCCATCTCCCTCAGGTCTCGTCGTTCGACGAGTCCGCAATACGACCTACGGCTGTATTACGGAGTAATACGAATGCAAGTGCCGCGATTTGCCCATCATCTGCCCATCATCGTCCTCTCCTCGCTATGCGGTGGTCCGTCTAGAGTTTGGCTGTTTGGCTGTGATCTGTACAGCATGTACTGCTCGGACGAGCCTCTGAGAGTGTCTCCCATCTTGTCACCGTCGACAGAGACTCACCGGATCCATCTCCCCTCGTTGGCTGGCCGGCTCCGTTTTAAGCGCCCGCCCACCATGATCCCTGTCCGACTACCCCTGTCATAGGCAGACTGCTTGCAACCGAGCAGCCAGTGATGAGCCGCAATCGTCTCTTTGCCGCCGTGATATCCTCAACGTGGTCCTCGGCGCTCTGGGCGGTCTTGGTTTTCTTGTCAGTCGCGGGGAGGGACCAGCTGCCTCCTCTTCCTCTTGCTCCTCCTCCTCCCCAGTCTAGAAGGGCGTACAGCCTTTTACCATTTACCTCTCCTTCTTTCCTTCTTCTTCTTCCTACATCTTTCTCATCTCTTATAACTCTTCATTTCTGTGCTATAACTACGGTTCATTTCCTCCACTGCCCCCACCGGTTTAACCTTGACCTCAAACACCCAGGACCCCTGCTTTGTTACCGGCACCGCTGCAGCCTTAACCCTTTGGAGCCCGGCTCCCACATTAGACGTCGCAGCTCGACTCAGCAACCCGCTCTTGTCGGCCAGCCTCGCCACATACCGTCCTCCAACACCAGGGTTGTTGCGCCGTGTCAGAGATTACCATACCGGCCTGGTGAAGCGTCGCATACCGACGTCGTGGGTTTCATCCCTGTCGGCACATGCTCCACGCTTTCCGCGACTCCTTCACCCAGCAAGACCGTCCGCCTTTAAACACTGCCCTCTGCGCCGACCTCGACCTCTCTGATTATTCCCGTCGGCTGACTTCCTCTCGTTCGACGTCGCTGGTCCACGACAGAATTTATCCTTTCGCTTCTATATATGCCCGCTGGTCGGAAAAGTCAACATTTCATTCATTTCTAATAATTCTTTTTTTTTTTTTCGTTTGCTGTTGCTTTTGATCCTTCTGTGAAGGACAGAATATAATTGGACTGAGAAGAGAGACCTACATACATACGAGCGACGACCACCTATTCCATTGCCGTCGACATACAATATACGATTCGGAGAATAGGAGAAGGGAAAGACGGAGGAGAAGAGAAAGAGAGAGAGAAGGGCACCGGCATTCACATATTGGGAATCGGGAGCGTTCGTCTCCTTGAGAAGTCAACATGTCCGGAGGATTGGGCTACGTCGAGCTCATCAAGAAGCAGTTTACTGCGAGCAAAATCTTTTTCCACACAGTCTTTTGGAGCTTTCACTGGGGTCTCTTTGCCTACGGATGGTACGTCCTTCCCCGCGAGGCAGCAGCGCTCTCTCTCCCCTCGTGAGATGTTACCCTCTGACACGTGATCTCTTCAGGATCAAGCAAGCCAAAGATCCGCGACTGGCGGCTCTCAACCAGCTCAAGTTCTCCGTCTGGATCTCCCGAGGAGCCGGTCTCGTTCTCAGTGTGGATTGCATGCTGATCCTGCTCCCCGTCTGCCGTACCATCATGCGATGGGTTCGACCCAAGATCCGCTTCCTGCCGCTCGACGAGAACCTGTGGATGCACCGGCAGCTGGCCTACTCCATGCTCTTCTTCACCATCCTCCACGTCACGGCCCACTACGTCAACTTCTTCAACGTCGAGCTCACCCAGGTCCGGCCCGTGACGGCCCTGCAGATCCACTACGTTCAGCCGGGCGGCATCACCGGTCACGTCATGCTGCTGTGCATGCTCTTCATGTTCACCACGGCCCACGCCCGCATCCGCCAGCAGTCGTTCGAGTCGTTCTGGTACACGCACCACCTCTTCATCCCCTTCTTCCTGGCCCTGTACACGCACACGACCGGTTGCTTCGTGCGCGACACGGCCTCGCCCATCTCGCCCTTTGCCGGCGACACGTACTGGAAGCACTGCATCGGCTACCTGGGCTGGCGCTGGGAGCTCTGGACCGGCGGATTCTACCTGATTGAGCGCCTGTACCGCGAGGTCCGCGCCCGCCGCGAGACAAGCATCACCCGCGTCATCCGCCACCCTTACGACGTCGTCGAGATCCAGTTCAGCAAGCCGTCGTTCCGCTACAAGGCCGGCCAGTGGCTGTTCCTGCAGGTCCCCTCCATCTCCAAGTACCAGTGGCACCCCTTCACCATCACGTCGTGTCCGTTTGACCCGTACGTGTCCGTGCACGTCCGCCAGGTTGGCGACTTTACGCGCGAGATGGCCGACGCCCTCGGTGCCGGGCCCCTGCAGGCCAAGCTGTACGACGGTGCCGACTCCAACGGCATGTTCGAGGTCGCTCTCCAGAACGGCGAGCAGATGCCGGCCCTGCGCATCGACGGGCCCTACGGAGCCCCCGCCGAGGACGTGTTCGAGAACGAGATTGCCGTGCTGATCGGTACCGGTATCGGCGTGACGCCCTGGGCCTCGATCCTCAAGAACATCTGGCACCTGCGCAACTCGCCCAACCCGCCCCGCCGCCTCCGCCGCGTCGAGTTCATCTGGGTCTGCAAGGACGCCGGATCGTTCGAGTGGTTCCAGGCCCTCCTGTCGTCTCTGGAGCAGCAGTCGGACGAGGCCGCCCGCGTGCCCGGCTCCGGCGGCGTCGAGTTCCTCAAGATCCACACGTACCTCACCCAGCGCCTCGACATGGACACGGCGCAGAACATTGTCCTCAACACGGTGGGCACCGATATGGATCCGCTCACCGAGCTGCGGTCCCGCACAAACTTTGGTCGTCCCGATTTCGGCCGCCTCTTCACCACTATGCGCGATGGCATCCTCAACCGCACCTACCTCGGTGGTCTGGACGGAAACGTCCGCACCAAGGTTGGTGTGTACTTTTGCGGTCCGACAGCAGCCGGTATGTCACACCTGAATTTTTCCCTTCTTTTTTTTTCTTTCTTTTCCCTCCATAAACTAACACTGTATGCTCAAACAGCCCGCAGCATCAAGTCTGCCTGCAAGGTTGCCGACTCGCGAGAAGTCAGCTTCAAGTTCTGGAAGGAGCACTTTTAAGCTCGGGTGCGGTGGACGGTGTCGGTTTGATTTCTAGGATTTCTTTTTCTCTTTTTTTTTATCCCCCCCCTTTAATTAGGTATCTACAGTCCAAAATTTCCTCTATGTTTATATTCTAGGATAGGATCAATCAAGCGATGTTTGCATCGTAAGTCATGTCTCATGTCCAGCTATAAGGACCATCTATGAGGAACACAGCTATGGGGGGGAAGACTTTGTGCCATACCGTGGTGGGTCAGCTGTATATCCGATTCGATGGTGAGAACGTGACCCCTTGTACCGTGACATCCATCCACCGAACGGTACTGTATGTCTAATTCAATCAGGAGATTTGTTTCCGGTACCATTTGTTCAACTTGGCTGTAAGAATAATAGTAGTGGTGGTATTACTTGTGCGTATACAAAAATAAAACTCTGAGGGAAGAGAAAAAAAGGTACAACACTTACCCTATATCCTATCAGTCAGCTGTATCCAGGTGACCTACCCATGGATGGTGACACTTTCTCCCATCACATCATGGTGGGATTGAGAATAGGAGAGTATATAGAATCGAGACTAGGTCAAGGGGGATGAGAGCAGAGAGGGTACATGATCCAAAGTGAAGAAAACATGAGATGGATAAAAGGTGCCAAATAGAAAAATAAAAATAGAAATTAAAAAAGAGAGGTTGGCTTATCTAGGTCTTGTCTGTTTCCCAATCTTTCTCCGACTTGTCTCTTGTTTACTTTTACTATCTTGAAAATTAGTTCTTTTTTTCGTCACACGCATTTGATGATAGCCAAGTCTCTCCCCCCCCCCCCCCCCGACCTTCAACTACTGGATCGAATGACACAAGTTCTACTCGTGATCCTCTCTTGACTCTTGCCCTCTTTAGTCCCTGACGGAGACTTCTTATGATATCGATATTGAACGAGACTATATATATACATATATATAACAGGAAAGTCAGGAACTAAAAGAGAAGCAAAAAAAAAAAAAGAGTCCGTAATTAGTATCGATATGAAAGGTGAAGAAGTAGAAGAAGAAACTGATATGCCTATTGATGTAAGTGCGTGAAAACAAAACAAGAGCGCTGAATGCCCTCCCTTTTTTTAAAAAGAAAAAAAACCTGTGACAAAATGGAAAAAGAAAAGGGAAAAAAAAAGATTAACCAAGCCTAGAAGTGGCATGAAGTGAAAACGGAATAACAAAAAGAAAAAAAAAGGCAATGGACAGATTTTTTTTTTTTTTAAAAAAAAAAAGAAGCCAAGGGAAAAAAAAGCATTAGACAGAAGACGAAAAGAATAAATTAAAGAAAGCATATATATACGTCATTATGTGTCTCGTAGCACGCTGCAAAGAAATATGATCTACATCATTGATATCTCTTGCCTTCCCCATTCATCAGAGGGGAGGAGGGGAGGGGAGGGGAGAGGAGGGGAGGTGAGGTGAGGTGAGGTGAGGGGGTGGGGGTTTGGAGAGAAAAATGTAAGAGGTGTGGATATGATGGAGGAAGAAGGAGAGGCAGATGGGATGAGCAGGAGAGAATGAGTGACGGGGAAGAAGGACAGAGGAGAGCGAGGAGGATGAGAGGAGAGGAGACGAGAGGTCAGCTCCTCAGCTTATTCACATTCTCCTCCGTCAGTGCCTCCCCCCTAGCCGGACGCTGCGGAAACCCGTCCTTCCGGATGGTAGAGGGAGTCCCGCCGGCGGCGTCGATGAGCTTGGTCTCCTGCAGGCGCGAGGACAGCTCCTTCTCGCCCTCCGGTCGCCTGACCTGGGGTGCCAGGTCGGGCGCGCTGGGCGAGTCAAAAGGCGACAGCTCGACGTCCTGCTGCGTCGTCGTCAGCGGCCTGGGCGTGACAGGGTCGCTGCCGGCAAGCAGGGCGCCGTCGGCGTCCTCGAGCCCCACGTGCGGGATGTCGGCGTTCTTGCAGTCCTCGCTCTTCTCCGAGCACTCCGACGGCTCGAGCGGCGGCTGTATCCGACGGTCCGACAGGCACCAGCGCACCAGCATGCGCTCCATCATGGACATGGCCACCGGCTTGGAGAGGTAGTCGTCCATGCCTGCACGCGTGCACTTCTCTCGGTCGCCCTGGATGGCCGACGCCGTCATGGCCACGATCGGCACGTTGCGCACCAGGGCCCGGTACGGCACGTGGTGCCGCATCAGGTGAGTGCACTTGTACCCGTCTATCACCGGCATCTGCACGTCCATCAGGATGATGTCCGGCTTCCGCACCTTGCCCTCGGACGACGACTTCAGGTATTCCAGTGCTTCTTTGCCGTTCCACGCAGCCATGACCGGGAAGCCTAGCTTCTTGATCATCTTGGTGGCAATCTTCTGGTTGACGGCGCTGCGGAAGAAGGAGGGGGAGGAGAGGGAGGCAGAGAGTGTTAGCCGGTGAAGGTTAGAGAGAATAGTGCCGAGATGCACGGCCTTCTGATCACTTACTTGTCTTCCACAACCAGCACGTGAATCTTGGCACGCTCCGGTCGAGGCAGGTCCTGCTCAAAGCTTGGAGGTGTCGCCGTGTACGATGAGCGCCGCGGGTAGTGTGACGGCACGTTCATGCCCTCCGATGCCGGCGAGTTGATGGCTGCCAGGTCCACCTCTGAGCTGTTGCAGGACACGCTCAGCTCCGTCTGGAGTCGGTCCGGTATGGCGCCCGACTGGACCAGCTGAGGCTCCTGGCGGCCGTGTACCTTGCTGAACGGTATCCAGAACGTCGCCGTGGTCCCGCTGCCCACGTGCGAGTCTAGCGTGATGCGCCCGTGCATCAGGTCCAGCAGGTTCTTGCAGATGGTCAGCCCGAGACCGGTACCGCCGAAGCGTCTGGCCGTCGACGCGTCGCCCTGGCTGAAAGGCTGGAAGAGCTTCCGGCGCACCTCCTCCTGGATGCCGATGCCCGTGTCCTCGACGATGAACTTGACCTCGATCGAGTCGGCCGTCTCCTTCTCCTTGCAGACCGAGAACCGGACGTAGCCCTGATTGGTGAACTTGATGCTGTTGGTGAGTAGGTTGGTGATGATCTGGCGCACGCGACCCGGGTCGCCGATGACCACCATGTTGTCGGCTATGTCGCTGCCAACGTCCGACTGGAAGTCTAGGCTCTTCTTCTCGACGGCAAACTTGAGCATCCGCACAACCTCTTTGACGATGAGCGACAGCGAGAAGTGCACCTCCTCGATGTCGAGGCGACCTGACTCAACCTTGGAGAAGTCAAGGATGTCGTTGATGACGGTCAGGAGCGACGTGGCCGAGCTATGTATGTTGTCGACGCACTCGGTCTGCTCCTCGTTCAGCGCCGTGCCGCCCAGGAGCTCCGCCATGCCGAGGACGCCGGTGATCGGCGTGCGGATCTCGTGCGACATGTTGGCCAGGAACTGGCTCTTGAGGCGGGTCGCCTCTTTGGCGGCGGCCTCGTTGGCTAGGGCCTTGCGCTTCTCCATCAGACGCACCTCGGCCTCCTGCCTCTGGATACGCAGCTCGGTCACATCCATGATGACGCCGATGACGCCCTCTACATACGTCTCGCCCGTCTCCTTGCCGTCCCGCAGCCTCTTGCCATTCACCGGCAGGAAACGCGTACGGTACCACCGATCGTTGAACGGGTGCTCCTCGGTGACGACCTCGTCTATGATGTTGCCGTCCAGGCAATCCTCGATGGGCTGGAGAAACTTGAGCTTCTCGCCATCGGCCATGTTCTGGGTGAGCCGGTTGAAGACGTGGTATACGTTCTGGCCCATGAACCACCTGCTGTCTTCCGGCAGCTCTTCGCCCGTGCTGTCCCAGATCAGCGCTCCTTCGAGCATGGTGACCTGACGGTTTGCATCCGCGGTGAATATCGTCACCTGGGAGTGAGCGAGGACGCTGAGGAGTTGCTTGCGTGTGTGCTTGGCATTGATCTTGGCCTCCATGCTCTCATGAACATCGGTCGAGGTACCTGCGCGATGATGGTCAGTACGGGCAAGCAGATGAGCGTGAGGGGGACCGCGAGGGGGGAGCCGCGACTGACCAAGCCATTTCTCAATTTCGCCGGATTCCTTGTTGCGCACGGCCAAGGCCCGGGCGAGGAACCACCTCCACTCGCCATCTTTGCTGACGCAGCGGTACTCGGCCATGTAGGGCTCACCTGACGCGAGGGAGTGGTTCCACCGCGCCATGCTCTCGGGCATATCATCCGGGTGGAAGGGGGCTTGCCAACGCAGGCCGAGGCAGTGCTCCGGCTTCAGCCCCGTGTAGCTGTACCACTGGGTGTTGAAGAAGTCGTACAGGCCATCCGGGGTGGCGGTCCAGACGAACTGGGGCATGGTGTCGCAGATGATGCGGAAGCGCTCCTCGTCCCTCTCCTGGATCTCGGTGATGCGCTTCGTCATGGACGTGATGTCGCGGCCGGTGACGACGGCGGCGAGGAACTCACCCGTGGCATCGTCGCGGATCACCTCGCCCAGCACGTCAAAGACTATCTTCTCGCCCTTGGAGTTGTATATGCCGCAGCGGATGCCGGAGAACGGCGACTCGGTCCTGAGCAGGATGGACACGGGGTACTGGCTCACGTCGAGACGCTCGGTAAAGTCCTCGTTCCACAGCTCCCAGTACTTGAGGAGGTCGAAGCCGTCCGACGCCGAGTCAAAGTTGGCGTTGTGGCTAAACAGGCGGCGGGCCGCCTTGTTGGGGTAGGTGACGGACCCATCCTTCCACATGGCCAGGATGGGCATCTGGGTGTTGTCGAGCAGGGCGTCCTTCATGCGAAACATCTTTTGCAGTATCGACGGCGTGCCCGACCTGGAGGATACAGAGGGTGGGCCCATCGGCGGGAAGGGGCTGTTGGACATGGTCGTGGCGGCCGGGCTGAGGAAGGAGGGCGATGTGGCGTCGCGGCTCGAGGAGGCAGCGGACTGCGGGCCGGAGAGGGGGAGGGGCGGGGTCGATATCGTCTTCTTCTCGGCAGCCTCGAGGATGCTAGGCCTGGCAATGTACTTCCTGCCCGAGGCCAGCGACGAAGGTGTCGACTGCGTGTTGGTAAAGGTGAGGGTGAAGTAGGCCTGGCGGTCCTCGAGCTCCCAGACGGAGATCATCATCTTGGCGAAGACCTGGTACTCGGACTCCTTGGACCTGTACCGGCTATCGAAGGTGGTCTTGCCGATGCCCTTGCGGGAAACTACGACTTCTATCACGGTATCCTGCGGCATCCGTACGGTGGAGCCGCGTCTGGGGAGCTCCGGGTGTGCGCCGGCGTCGAGGACGGGGGTCGAAGGGGTCGTGTCGCCGGCGGCGGATCGGCGGCTGTCTCCTCCCACGGGTGCTCGAACGCCCATGTCCCGCACGACTTGGTCCAGGAAGGCCTCCCACGTGACCCATACGGGACGGCCGTCCTGCATCATGTCGATGCCGACCTGGGACAGGGTCTGACCCCTGAGGCGGTTCAAGGTGAGGGTCGCATCCTCCTCGTCGGTGCTGTTCTGGACAATGCCGAGCATGCGGCCGATGGCTTCGTTGGCCAGCACGACGGTCTTGAGGTTGTTCAGGACAAGGGTGGGGACCGGCAGGTACTGCAGTGCCGAGAAGGCGAGCTGGCCGGGGGATATGGACGGCATTGCCAGCCGCAGAGGGCTCTGGGACGATGATCGAGATCGCGTATCGGGGAGGAGGGGTTCCCGGACGAAGCGAGGGCCGCCGTGGGGGAGGGGAGCAGCGGGGCCGGCATCGGCGGCGGCGGTCGTACGCGAGTTCTGATCTGTCTCGGGCATATGCTGGTCCTGGTCGGCCAGGTTGACGGCAAAGATGGGAGTGGTCGTAGGAGGGGGGAGGGCGGCGCCGTTGGGGAGGGCGGCGTCCTCGTCCTGAGGGCCACGGTCCGGCGGCGGACCGGCGACATTGTTCGTGGCGGAGGTGGTCTCTGGGGTTCGAGTGTCCCCGGCATCAGGATCTACTTGGGGAGGGACCATGTCGCGGCACCCTCGTCATGGGAAGAGCGGGTGAGGCGGGATGAGGATTGGCCGGGTGGTCGGTTGAGGCGGCAAGCTCTGCGGGCAGGGCAATTGGAGGGGCAACGACGGCGTCGGCGACGGCCAGGAGCCAGCAGAGAAAGGCGAGTTGGTTGGCTGGGTCCCCGGTAATGGTTGGTTGGCAGTGGTAATCGGCAGGAATCTTTCTTGCTTCTTCCTCTCTGGTAGGCACTTGAGAAAGTCGGTTATCCGCAGGGGTAGAATGGTAGACACGCGGCAAGCATAACTCTACTCATGGCCCGCGGTTTAATTGTCGGGTTGTATTCTCCCCTCTCTCTGTCCCAAGGGCAATTGACGGTGTGTGTGTGTGTGTGTGTGTGTGTGTGTGTGTGTGTGTGTGTATGTGGCTGGTTGTTTTGGTAGCAGCGAGTTGGGAAACTAAAGACAAGAGACCC